TTTTACTATAGATTTATTATAGTTTCGGCAGAGTTTCAGCAGTTTCGGCATTTATAATAAGTTTCGGCAGTTTCGCCTTTCTCCAAAGTTTCGCCAGTTTTTTAATATAACTTTAATATAGTTTCGGCAGAATTTCGCTTTTCGGCAAAACGCCATCTTGCCTAAACCCCTAGGTTTCAGCAAGCAACCTTAATCATTATTATCTGCAATTTTCTTGGCACAAATTTCAGCCGCTCGTACTTCCGTTTCATATATTGCTCGAATTACCTTAATACCTTTAATGGAAATTGATGCCAATGAAATCAGCCCAAGCACATCCAAAATTTTCCTATATACAAAATTTTTTTTAGCAATAATATTATCACCTGGAAGACTATCTTGCGGGATGAAAATACTAAAACGTTGAGTCTTCTTAATAATAGTCCAACCATCATCTTTCTTTGCTTCTTTAGAAGTTGTATTCTGACTAAGGTGACTTGTGTTAGTTTGAGTATGCATAGAGGCATCCAGCCCTATGTTAGTATTACTATTCATCTGTATAGGTTGCTGAACTATCAAAGAGCTCATCGAAGCAGCTGAAGTGCTACTTCCTGAAGGTTGGATAAATTCTACCCCTTCTACAGTGCTGGCAAAAAGTAATCGGAATTACATTTTTGTTCATTAATTGATGAATAATTATGATAAATACACAAACGTTTGTACACACATCCTTCATAACCTGACGAACAAATTTACTTAAGGATACTTTATAGGTTATCTTATTGACATCACCTCTAATTTCGCGTCTAACCGGTAATTGTGATGAAATTAAAAATAACTTAAAATTTGGTTAATTAATTAATAAAAGTCTACTCTAAGTAAACTTTTTTTTTTACTAATTAACTCACTTTTTGTTATTTAAGTAAACATGTGCATCAGAATAAATTGCACATATTTTTGAAAGTTTTATTGATTTTAGATAAATATTGAATGATTTATTGTAAGTTATCACTTAAAATTTTACTTTTTTTTGAAAAATACGTTTAGTTATAATTAAACGTTATAATTTTCAACCACTACATGCTCCATATGGAAGTAAATTTGTTTATTATAGTCTAAATTATATAATTCTAAAGTTTTATCAAAATTGAATTAATATTTGCCGAAGTAACTCATCCAATTAAGATTACAAAATTATGCAGATCATTTTTTACAAATTTTATGATATTTAAAAAGATGGATAATACCTAGAATTTTGAGTATTTTAAAAAAATTTTCTTTGATACATTCTAATTTTAAGAGAAATATTATTTTTGGAAATTAAAAAAAATGAAAAGAATATTTAAGTTGACTCAATAATTGCTCATAATTGTATTTTCTTATTACTAAATTCGTTAAATAAATTAGAATGATAATAATGATAATTGAAAGTAATATTAATAAGATACCATATGAAATGTCATTAAGCAAATTTTTTCGCCAGGTTACAAAGGGTATATATACAAATTTTTGTGTATTTATGACATTTATTCATTGTTTAATGGACAAAAATGAAATTCTGATTACTTTTTGCCAGCACTGTATATTACTCTTCCCAAATTCTATAATGAAAAAACAATATTTTCTATGACTTAAATGATAATAAACGAAAAATATTTCTTTAAACTACTAGTGCAAAATTTGTGATCGAACGATCGGTGGGAAGAGTTTTTTTATTTTTACTAGTTAATTGATTATAAATCTTCCTTCCTTTATATTTCTTTCAAATAGGTTACCATTTTGACTATAATATCAGAAATATTAATCCAAGCAAGTTAGCAAAATTATGTGCTTGGCCATCAGATAAGGATATTACTTCAGCTATTAAACATTCTTATAAATTGGCATCTGAACTTGCTAAAGCACTTGATATGGACCCTACTTCAAATATGAATCATTCATTATTACTGCTATTTGTAATGATAGAACATCAAAATTTGGAAGTATCAACCGAAATTAAGTCAATTTTGGAACTTAAAAATGATTTAAACGATGAAATCGAAATTTCTGAATTCTGATGCAATTAGTCAAGCATCCAAGTATACTACCGAAAGAATTGATGATGTTCTTGATTTATCAAATATTGAAAATATCAATTATCAAATTCGTCAAGCTTAAGTTATTTCATCTTTAGATAATATAAGAATAATTAATAATGAGCTACTTACTCATAGTATGAAATTTTATTTAATTATATTATTACATTATCAAAGCTTGTAATAGTAACATTATTAACATAATTGGGAAAGATTTTACTATTAGATATATTTTATCAAAAGGAAAGCTGAATTATTTAGGTATAATTAAATTACGAAGAGATCATGAAGTATATAATTCAAGACCAATTGAAAGACAAAATCGTATACATATGATTGGCCATGAAATAACAAATACTATTAATCCAAATAAGGCTAGTCATATAATTTCATATTTTACAAATAATGATGATCTAGCGATGCAATTTATAAAATAACATAAAAGTGATGGAAAGAAATTGGAAGGCAATGACAGCTAATCTTGCAAGTTTACATAAATTTGAATTATCAAGGTAAAAACAAACTGATAAAATTACAAATAAAAGTAAATATAATATTAATTATGTAACTTATTATGTAATTTTTAATATTAATAATTGTTATTTAATTTAATTGTACAGTTAACCCTTGTTAGAGCTCTGAATGGGTCAGGTCAGATTAGGTTAATTGATAAACCTGACCTGAAATTTTTTTTCAAGTCAGGTCAGGTCAGCATAGCGGACATCCCTATTTTATCACAATACTGACTGATCATTTGTCGATCATTTGCTGATCATTTATTCAATTATCACATAATATAAATACCGTTGCTAAAAAAATTTACATAATAATATATGCTCAAATTTCACAAATAACTTAAATTTAGTTTTAATTTATTGTGTATTAAATTTCATTAGCTTTTATTATTATTTGGCATATATTTATTCATTTTACGAAATTATTCACTAATTATGTTACTAATAAAAAACCTGCATTATGAATCAGATCACTGCATTATTTTTTTTATAGATTCTACATAATATAAAGAATATTTGTGCAAATTCTTAAGTTTCGCACTCACATATTCATCTTCGCACTTCAATTTTTGTCTGATGATCGGCAATAATTAGTGAATTATCATATACAAATAATATATTTATGATATTATTAAAAATTGTGCTAATAATTACATAATTAAAGTCATATGATAATTTAGTGTTTTTACTTAGATTTCCATTATTTTTTTGCCACATTATTTGAAAAATATTTGTGATTTTGCAATAAGTTTTTAAAATCTGGAATTAGTGATCAGCAAATGATCGGCAAGGTGATATGAGCATGTCCGCTATGCTGGTCAGGTCAAACAGACAACCTGATATAACCTGACCTGACCTGACCTGAAAAAAAATTTCAGGTCAGGTTTATCAATTAACCTGACCTGACCTGACCCATTTGGAACTCTAGTCAGGTTACCTGAATTTGGCTGACCTGTTCGGAGCTTTAATCCTTGTTATAGGGTCCAGACTTCAACTTCGCTATAAGGTTATAGAGAAGATTTTAAGAGATTTGATTGGTTAATTCATTATAGCGAGGGGAAATTTATTATAGTTGTCTGAAAAATTCACTATATCAAGGGTTCGCTATATCAAGGTTTGACTGTATGTGTTGAATGGCAAATATTACTTAAGATTTTCCATTTCGACAAAGTGATTATATAATTGTATTATATGAAACAAAAATTTGTATTGCTAAAATAATAGCAATGTATTATGAAAGTTATGATAACCATTGTTATAGCCAAGATGCAGTAACTCAAATTGAAGATTCGTCTTATATTTCATTACAAGTATATTTACCCATTCATTTCAATATTTTTGCAAGTCAAACTGTAGAAGGTTATACGCTATTTACTTATCATTATCCTCAAAATATTATATATCATATTAATTCAAATGGAGTAATAATTGGTGATAGTTCACTAACTTTAACAGGAGTAGCATATGAAATTTTTAATTATTTTAACCATAATGCTATTAAAAATAGCATTATTAATATAATACAATAATATCAATTTGTCAAGAAATTTTTTTTCATTTTATAATTACAAAATAAATTGCTTGGTAGTGCAAAAAATTTTAATATTACAATTTGAGTTTGCTTAGCAGAATGAAAATAATTTGCTTATTGATCTTAGTAAATTTTGAAATTTTTATCTGACCTATATATATATTGTTTGGGGTTCTGGCAGTATTAATATAACTCAAAAAAAAAAAATATATATAATAACAATCTCTATTTTTACAGATATATATTTCAGTAATAATATTTCAGCAATATTAATAACATTTCTATTTAAGCATTTAGACACATTGACATTGGCCAATCTGACCAATCAAAAATAATAATTATTGTTATCAAGTGATCACATGATCACATGATTTATGATTATATTATTATTTGTTTTTTTTTTCAAAACTTTTTGCAGTTTCACCTTTTTATATAAATTATAGAGTAATTTTATTCACCATTCCCGATGATTTCTTAAAATACCATCCTCGTTTGGCGCAGTATATAAATCATGTATTCATATATATTTTTATTAAAATATCGCAAATAATTATTACAATCAATTAATTAATATTAATTTACAAGAAATTTGTACATGATTAATAAAAATATGATTAACAATGTAACTAATTAATAAAGAATTTTTGCAGTAATAATACAAGTTAATTATACATTCTTCTTGTTTAGACAACGTAAATAATTATGTCCAGATTCCTTATAAATTTTACATGGTGCACTGCAGCTTCGTGAATTATGGCCATCTTTAAGATAATTGCGGCATGTATATCCATTACCAGAACGATTAATAGATCTATTGCCTATAGAATTTTCTCCAGAAGATTTCAATCTTTTAGCAGACTTTCCTTTTGCATTAATTTGCAATGAATTACGAATCATTTCTTAATCTTGCTTATTAACAGGATTATTAGATAGTTCCACTTTTTGAATTAAATCTCGTAATGTAGCTGCAATATATGCTAAGTTGAATTCAGATGCTAAGGATGCTAACTTTTGTCCTAATACTGCACATTCTCCATAAATCTGACGTTTATTGATAAAATGTTTAACTTCAGAATTATTGCTTAAGTGATTTTCTTCATTAATATGAATTTCACACATAAAAGTTACTGAACTTTCACTCCCAATATCAATCACAAAGTTAGCAGATTTATTTAAAGCATTAATTTTCTGTAAATCAACATCTTTTTTATACCACCGACTCTTTAATAAATTAAATGTAAATTGTGCTTTTTGTGTTTGTAACATTACTTGAAAAAAGTGGCGGGAAACCAAACCTTTACTAGTTAAAAGTAAACATGTACAAATATGAGAATGATCTTGAAATAATGCCATATAATTTACTGACGTTGTATTAACTGCCATATGTTTAACTTCCCAAATTTTTATAACATTAGTAAGATTTACACCACTAATTAGAGATTTAAGTGCAATTTGACATTTATTTGTGCAATTTTCAAGACAAACAGAAGTATCAAAATTATTAATCTTTAATTAAAAAAAATTCAATATTAATACCAAATGGATAATAAAAATATTTTACTAAACAAATAAAAATATAAACTTACATTATTACACGTATGGTATTAATCAGAAGGAATTAATTTTGAATAGTATTCAAAACAAACATCAATTTAAGCCTTTTGGATAAAAAAAACTTCATCAGTTAAAATACTTTTTAAATTCTCAACCAATTTTGGAAAGACATGAATTGCTGAAGAAGAAGCAATACTAAAAGGCAAATTGGCTAAATAATCTCGATATTCAGCTTTTTGAAGTTCTGAAGCTAACATTTCCTGTAATCCATTAAAGCATCTTAATAAAATTGAATGTGAATTCATAAATTTATGAATAATAGCATTGATAGATTCTACGCATTGAATAGAAGACATTCTAGCATTAAACTCCTACAAATATTGGTAAAAAATTCAATTAATACTATTTTTTGACCTAAACTAACTAACTCTAACCTAACTCTAACCCTAATCTGAACCTAATCTAACCCTAACTCTAATATAACCTTAACCCTATCTTAAAAGTAAAACATTTAGCCCAGCGTTTCTTAATTAGATATAAAACATTTTTCAAATATGGTGCAACTTCTGGAAAGTTCATACATAAAGAAATAAATCATGTTTCAAAAATTTCTTCAAATAATGTATTGCGGCAAATAAAAAAATCATTTTTAAATGCAGTAAATTGGAAACCTAAAGCTATATGAAAGATATAATGTAAATATCATGTTGTTGGAAAAACAGATTCTATAGCCGCTGGTTCTAATCCAGTATCACAATTGGAAAAAATTGTTCTTGGTGCTAGATAATTTGTTGCTGCTAAAAAATTATTAAGAACTCACATATACACTACCCTCCCAAAAGTATCCGGTCAACCAATAAAAATCATATTTTATTAATAATAATTAATATTTAGTTGGCTATCCATTGTTTTTAATGCATGCTTCAATTCAGCGTAGTATGCTCTCAATTAAATTAATGTAAGTTTCAGATGGAATTCTTTCCACTCTTCTTTTAGCTGTTAATCCAGTCGTGTCCTAAAATTTCCAAAAAGTACCATTACTAAGGTTGCTTGCCAAAACCTCTCTAAAATCCTGCGATAAATTTCGGCAAGATTTTACTATATGTTTACTATAGTTTCGGCAGGGTTTCGGCAGTTTCGGCAAATGGGGGTTTCAGCATTTCGGTAAAGTTTTGGCAGGATTTTTAATATGATTTAATATAGTTTTGGCATTTTCCGTATAGGTTTCGGCAGTTATTAAGAAGGTTTCGGCAAGCAACCTTAACCATTACAGACACAATTGTTCGATACAAGAATTTTAATCCTGATAGTTTCATATCCTTTCCAAAGGCCAATAATTTGCCCACACTCACTCAATTTACTAGTTTTTCCCATTTTAAAAGTAGCTGAATGGCGTAGTAACAAAAAAAAAGCAAAGTTCAGCGTTGGCAAAAATTGAGGCGTTATTATTTTTTTATTGCCAAATCTGGTACAAGTATCATAACACAATAAAAATACATTCATTTTAATCATTAGAACCAGGGGAATTATTTTTTTTTAAAAAAAAATAATACTTTATATATTCAATCTTGAGAAAATCAAGTTGAGCTTGACCAGATACTTTTTGGAGGGTAGTGTATGATGAAGTAGTTTCATCAGACATTAATGCCTGAGCTATCACTCTTGAATAATGATGTTTATCAACACCTACAAACAAACACAATGATAAATGCTTTACAGAAACTTACCATTTTTAATCAATATAGAATCGATATCGTTAAGTTTATCTTAACGGTATCATTTTGATATCATTTCAATATCATTTCAATATCGATTTAATATCGATACGATATTGAAATAAAGTATTATCACTTCGATATCATTTTGATATTAAATCGATATTGAAA